GGACAGGGCGAAAAATCTCGGAGGGCCCGTGTGCAAGTTGCGCACGTTAAAGATCCCTTGGTGGTCTAAAATCGATAAGAGTAGGCTTCAGCCGCCACCAGGGCAAAATTCAAAATTTCCTACCAACTGAAAATATTAGGTGTGTCCCGTGCGCTCATATGACATGCAGTTGCGAGCGCCATAAAACACTTTACAAAAAATACCTAGTGCCCATTGACATAATCAGTTCAGTTCGGTTTGCTAGCCAGATATAGGGCGCAAAGCGGCTATCGTGACATAAATTAATCGCCCGACTTGTCTCTCAAAAACAAACGTGTTTGTTTTCAGGCGATGAGTCGGGCGATAGGTTGGCAATCAGTTTGTATAAAAGAACCGATCCCCCAATGGGCACTCCTTATTAAATAATACAATAAAACAAGTAGGCAAGGCATACATCCCAGTATAGAATGAACGACTGGCACTTCTCTTATTTAACAGTACGTGTCTCTCACCTCCCACACTGCACTAAGCAGAACGCAACTGACTGAAGGAGGGCAATCTGCCAGTGAAAGCTTTGTTTGCAGACCCCTTGCCAATAAATTAATCCATTGCCAGAGATGTAAATTGCCATATGAACAAACTCGTCCATAAACATAAGAAATAATATCTCAACAAACGTATCAAGCAGTCCGCAAAAACAAAAGATTTTTAAATATTAGAAAAGATAGGAGACAGCAAAAATAAATTTGTACAGAGCAGCTTTTCATGTTTATTTCATATGCTTGCCTTTGAATGGATTTATCGTCCGACTAAACACATACACGTATTGACCATTTTGAAGGCAGTGTTTAGCCTTAGAGTACAGAAAAACAAAGGAAGAGAGGAATACAAAATTGATACACCAAATTAAACACAAGACAGACGCAACTAAGATGTGTTTGTAACTCCAGCACTGGTGCAAACACCTAATTTTGACATCTTTTACCCACTAAATTGTGATTTTTTAAAGTACAATAATATCAGACAAAAAAAAGAAAAAGAAAAAAACAAACAAATGAAAAGGATAAGACGTAAAAACAACAAAATGAGCAATTAATTTCAAAGCATCATTTGGGTCATTTATTTTGCGCAGGAACACATGTTCCACTCATGGAGCTTAGACAGTCATGACAAGCCAATAAGTCTTTTTATTCCATTTTAAAAATTTATCTCACACCAACAAATTATTGTAGAATTCAAAATCAATGCGTCTCCACATTGGCCTCATTTCCACCCCACCAATTAAATGAAGAAATTTTTTTTTTATCCCTCCTGAACCACATTAACAGTCAGCTGAAGACACATGTGTAGCATACTTTGAAAAAAATGTGCTGTCACAACAAAATCCTTACAATACAAAATTATTTCTGAGGTTGAAAAAGAATACTCAGCACATTGCCAAAGTATAATATGTATACAATATTTTTTAAACAACTGATCAACTATACACTGCTGAGGCATGACAAAAAACTGTCAAAGCACATTTAAAAGATGTACCTCTCTTGCACATAGTTTCTCTTCACTTAATAAGTGCATTACAAAGAAACCCCACTTTTGATATTACAGATGAAACACAACATAGCAGTCACCTCAACCATATCCGTATGCCCTGGGGTCATTTTGTACCTCCGGGGTTGTATTCTTCACATTTTAGAATACTTCTAGTACGAAGATCTCTTTGAAACTTTCAGTATTTCTCAAAAAATCATTTTGACAGACTGCTATGCAAAGCATACGAATCGGAATAACGAGTAAATTTCCTCTTTGGAAGTGGTGGCAGAGAGTTCCCCACGACATATGGATACGATAGTAAAACATGACGTACGGATAGGGTTAACTCACTGAACCCTCACTATGAATTATATCGGAACAGCAGTCTTGGAGCCAGAACTAAATTTCCGTTATTACTGGAACTAGAGTCCCAAATTTTTTAAAGATACAATCAAACCACGCAGTGTACCTTATGCAGTGTGGACCTCTGACAGCCAGTTCACAGGCTGTGTTGTGAGGCAAATTCACATTGTTTTAGTCCGGAACATATAATTATAATCAGACAGTTAGGGGATGGCAGTATAAAGGGGCAAATAGTATGCTTCTATAGGTGTTCCTTTTCGTGCATTGGCAAAATCTCACGGTAAGAGGGCCTGGTGGTATAGCAAGGTTTGACTAAACAACTATTAGTATACAGTAGAATACCTATCAACAGCTTAACTTCTGGTATTCTACACACAGAAAACCACTGTATGATGCTGACTAACACACAAAACTGAGGCGGCACTTATACAGGTTCTAACAATGGCATCTGTGACCCAGTAACTCAGAATTCACAATGTAATCTTCTGATTTTTTTCAGGGAATGTGATAATTATGAAGATTTATTTTAGATGCAAGTAAAATAACATGGACATTTTATTTTTAAAATATTGTACAAGGTGCCAATTCTCAATCCTATATCTTTATTGTTTCATCAATAAAGAATTTTAATTAACCCAAAAAGACAACACTACAGTGACTGTCAAGCTGAAAAAAGCCAGGGTCCAGTGAGAAACTTGATAACAGAACTGACTCCTTATAAAGTAAGTAAGGAGTTGTCAACATGAAAAAAGACCTGACCCTCCCAATGTCTTAAACTATACAACTGAGAATCCTGCATCTCAAAAGGTAGTTCAAACAAATGGAACATCTTGATGGCAAACTACCAAAGCTGTACATACAATCAGTGACATAGGGGTAAGTCTAAAAAGTAACTTTAGTGTGGAACTTTCTGAAGGCCCTGGAGATACGCCATGAGTTAGGCTCTTCATATTTGTTGTACAAAGGCTCAATCTTCTGCTGCTTCTTCTGCTTGCTCAGCCTCGTTGGATCCGAGTGCCTGAAGAACTTGGGGGCAAACTCCACCAGCCACTTGGGGTCAATGGCTGTGACTTCCCTCATGTACTCTTTGGTCGTCAGCACAAGCTCATGATATATCACCCTGAAGATAAAAGATGAATAAAAATGCAATAAATAAATGAATTCTTCATTGTACCCACTTTCAGGCTAAAAAATAATAATGCACTTATGCTTAGGTTCTCAGAACAAAATCTAGTAACGGGAAGACACTACTTGAACCACAAAACTGTTTTACATGCGGCTGAAATTGTATACTTTTGAGTAATTTCCTGGTCATAAAAGGGGTTAAATAATATACTCTGATGGACTTTCCCACTTTACAATCCCATTTGGTTCCTAGACAGAGTCAGATTGGGGCATAAGGCCTGCAAAAAGATTCAATTTTGGGTATTACTCACGTACCTTTAGTACAATATCATTGAAAATTGCTGTGAGCTTTCATAACAACAGAGGGAATTTTGGGTGTTTTAATTAGCAAAGCTTTGGTAGGTACATTACAACATAACATAAGCAGAAGAAATCACAACAGAAATATCCCATTACATTTATAAAACACCCCCACAAAAAACCCATTTGTTTAAAACATCTTGCAGGCAAAATGTTTGCACTACAGATATACTAAGAGCACCAAACACTAATTAAAACAAGCATGCAAATTTTCAAAATTGAATGAAAAGACAAATTTTGAGAAATCATAATTATTGGAACCCCTTCCCTATAAAATCAACTTTTTAAAAAAATCGAAAGCAAACGTGTAGATCTATGGATTGTACGGATTTTCTTGGAGCAAAAGCTGGTTCTGAATGCTTCACCAAGGACTAATTTTGGACCTGCATTCAGAAAATTGAAGACCTTTGGACTGTTCCCACCATTTTAATCCCATTTCTACTCATTTTGCTAGCTCAGGGCCTAGTTCAAGGTGTTTCATATTTTCCGGTCTGGTAATGAAAAAATTGAAAAATTGATACTTTACATCAACTCGGCCTCTCAAGTGAGAAGCAAATGTTGTGTCTCCCTTTAAGAACAACAGCAAACCAAAGAAGTAAATAACTGACGAAAGCATCAGAAGAAATTTGAGGAAAAAACCCATTGTCATCCACTGCCATTTAATGTGCCACTTGACTGCAGCTTCAAGATTTATTACCTTCAGGCGTTTCGCAATTTGTGTTCCTCTGAGCATGGAATTGCATAAGCACAAGCCTTCGTACGTATGTATGCGCGCAAGGAAGGGTACAAGTGTTAGTGTACGAGTAGAGCCACAAAAATTATTCACCAACAATTAGGAACATGAATATACGTAAATAGTCAACAACATTTATTTACTCAAAGTGAAACATGTGCATAGCAAACAAATTTTCAGGTCCTGGATTTTTTTTCTTATACATGTATTTAAATCACAAACATAGCGGAATTCGTACATAACGAAAAAATTTGCGCGTCCTGCCAATTTAGCTATGTGCATGCTGGACTATAATTATGATAAACAGCAAGTGAAATATGAGTATTATTCTCCCAGTTCATCCTCAAAACAAATACAGATGTTCTGTCTCATACTTCAAGATCAAAGAAAAACTGAAAAGCTGGGAGAGAGGGGCCACTCACCAGTCTGGCTGCCTGTTGAATAGAGCACTTGAAGGATGGATGTACACCACCTGACTGTCCACAATTGTTTTGTAACCCTCTTGGGGATCCTTTTTGGCAGCATTTCGGAAAAATCCACTGCAAATGGCTTTCTGCACCCGCACTGTATTCTTTCCACAGGATACAACATCAAGTTTATGCCTGCAAACGCACAAAAAAGTAATAACAAAATGCAATATATGTCATGTATTACAAATACTTGCACAAATCGACATCCTTTTTACCCCCAAACACACAGCATGCAACTGGCACACAAAGAAAACAAGGGAAAATAGCAGTTAAAGGAAACAAATGTATACATTTATATCATAAGAAACAGCAATATCGGTTTTTCTGGTCTTCCTCATTGGCACATATACTTTCAATTAAATTAATCATAACTGCAGAACAGAATGGCATAAATACCTTCCTACTCCCAGAAACTAACACTGCTGCTGCATACGACATATCCCTTCAGAGTTATAAACAAATTGTATCATAAATGGTATCATCACTATGAGCAAGGAACTTATTAAGAGAAAATGTCACGACCTTTTAACTCAGAGAGCAAATATAGTGGAATTTCCATTAAGACTGAACATTTAAATAGCGCACCCTAAAGTGCATTCAGTGCGACCACTAGATAAGGAGGAGGATTAAGCAATATCAAAGCTGTCCTCTTCCCTCAGAAAAGAACAATACAGGATCATGCGACATCTGAAATGATTTTTTTTTTAAATAGGAGTTTTACAGCACTTGCAACACAACAAGGTCATATAAGTGCCGAAGATTAGAGGTGTTACAAGGGAGTAACAAACACAAATAAGGAGGGAAGATAAAGTCGACAGACGTTTGATATGAAAGGAGCAAACCACACCAGAGCACCCGCCAACCGCCCACATCGGAAATGAACCTGCTCATATGACCATAAGGTGTTGAACCAGAAAACACTCGTACATTGCACAATTCATGACAACAACCATTTGCTTAATGTAGACCACAGTTTTACGCCAGAAGCTCAGGGTGAGTAACGATAATGATGTCACACATCTGGCGACACATGTGCCTTCACCATTTAACCCAGAAGGCTTACCATGATGTTATAACTGCACGTTCTTTTCAGTTGTTGTGTAGTTCTTTGCAGTGCATGCTCTGCATCTGGTCTCAGGGGTGTAAGAGTAACTTTAGCTGAATGTATAAATTAAAGTGATCAACTTCTAAAACAAAACAAAACGAAACAAAACAAAAAAACCCTTACCTATCCATTATGCCCAACATTTGCTTCCTGACATCCTGGGCCCTCTTTAGAGTCCTTATCTGCACAAAGTTCTCATAACACCATGGGCTGGAGAACTTGTTGTTTTTCCAAGAGTTATAAACAGCGAGTAGTGTCAAGTGATCTCCCTCTGACTGGTGGAACTTGGCTTTCTTTGAGTCTGCAATGGCTTGCTTGTCCTGAAAGGAAGAAATATAAATTTAGCTAGTCAGATTTATATGTAAGCTTTATTACAGAAACTGAAATTTCACTATCCCTCTTCGTTCCAGATATATTTAATACCTCCTCAATGTATTCTGGTTAACTAACATGCAGTTTCTACATGGTAAGATTTGTTAATGATAAGATGGGACAAACTTGTGCTATAAAAACACCTTGAAATAAAGACACCATAGGATTCCTGCAGGGACTGAACCCAAGATATCTCATTTACATGGACAGAATCTCAACCACAGCATCAAACTGACCCAAGATAACCACTTTACAAGTACTGCTACTGCTACAGCAGTACATGGTACCAGATTATGTCCTAAAACAGTGTGGAAGTGCACAGTATGGACATGTACAACATCCTTTCTAATCTCAATCTCACTTCAATCCAAGCAAAGTTGAGAATACAGAAAATCAAGAGTGGACTCACGAGGGAGCTGATCTTCTAAAATTTAAACATGACAGCCTGCCAATCACACTTCAATTGCTCAGATAAATTTGCAAAAGGTCATCCATCAATAAAAACTTTTGCGTGTCAAAAAGAAAACATGTTAACTCATGGGGGAAAATTACGTCAACAATGGAAGGATATGACACATATAGTAACAGTATGAGCTTTCTAGAAACAGGGGTATGTCCATGGCAAAGATTAGAAATGACCCTTCAATCACAATAAGTAAAAAATAACACATTACCATCACCAATACATATAAAATACGCTTTATCAAGCATAAATTGAACATTCATGAATTATAACAGGTGTCACTGGATTTCAATTTCCCAGTCCTTTTGCAGAGCTAACAAAAAAGAAGGGAGCGATATTGTACAGAATACAAATCACAAGGACCAGTCCCTGCTGAATAATCCACAACAAAATATACAATGAAATTACAGTGGACACAAACAAAATATTTTTTTCTTCCTTTTTTAAATTAGACCTGCATGTGAGCCTCAACCAGATTGTCTGAAAATTTTGTGCAACCCCC